GTTACTAGTCTTCTCTCCTCCAACATTAGGGTTCATCACACTTGGCTTCCTGGATATAGAATTGAGAATTGTTCATCCTCCTTAGGTTCTTGGAGGAAACTAGGGCTTTCTACATGACATCCCTGCTTAAAATTTAACTCTTGCTAATTTGAACTCAAGCTAGTGGTCATTCTGTAGCCCCTGTCTCTATGAATATGTCCCTCCCCATCTGCTTGTCCTTCCATGCTGGCTCTGGGGTGCCATCCTAACTCCTCCTCACCCACCCCGAGAGCTGATCACCTTGGCAGGACCTCTCGATAGCTCTGCTTTCTCTTTTCTTCCCTATGATGACCTCTACCCTACTGCTAGGCCCTGGCATCTATGACCTGAACCACAGCTGTGTCCCCTGAAAGGTCTCCCTCCTTCACTCTGGTTCCTGTCCAGCCCATTTTTTACACAGTAGCTGATCCATTTTGGAATCTGAGTTCACAGTAGTGAACAAGAAAGACAGTTCAACCTCTAGGAGCATAGTCCAGTGGGGAGACAGGCACAAGTTACCCCACACATCTGCAGCACTGCACCTGGCTGGGTTTTACCTCACTGGTGGGTCCATCTGACCTTGTGCAGAGGAGCTGAGCTGAGCTTAGGAGGATGGGAGGGGTTGGCTGGGCCAAGAAGGGGTGGATTCTAGGCAGAGGTAGGGACTCTGAGGGAGGGGAGATTCAGCTCCTGTGAGGAACAGGAGGAGGCCAGGGGACTGGAGCACCCTGCTCAGAGTATGGCTCATGGAGCAGCAGCATCACTATCACCATCACCCAGAGCTCCAAGAACTGCAGAGTCCTAGGGCTCATTCAAACATGCTGAATTGGAATCTCTGGGGGCTTGAGGGAGCAGGAATCTGTGTTATAGCAAGCCTTCCAGGGGACATTTAGAAACACTGAGTTTGAGAACCACTGGTCTAGAGGCCAGTGGGCAGGGAGAAAGTGGCCTTGGTGGAATGGCAGAGGGAGAGGGACCACAGCAAAGTCTTCTGGCCCAAGTCAAGAACTATCTGTTTTGGCCTGGCATGGTGGCTCACTTCTGTATTCCTAGCACTCTAGAAGCCATGGTGGTAGGATTCTTTGCACTCAGACGTTCAAGACCAGCTTGAGCAAGAGTGAGACCTTGTCTTTACTAAGATAAGAAAATTAGCCAGGTATTGTGGTGGCATCTGTAGTGCCTCAGACAAGAGGATTGCTTGAACCCAGGAGTTTAAGGTTGCTGTGAGCTAGGCTGATACCATTGCAGTCTAGTCCAGGCAACAGAGTGAGACTGTATAAAAAAAAAAATAGAGAAAAATATAAAAGAAACAAATAACTCTCTGTTTTGCCCCAGAAGCAATGGAGAAATATTACAGATCTTTGGCAGCCAAGTGATGTGTCAGATTCATACGTGAAGAAACACCGTGTTATCAGGGGATGTCTGTTCAGTGGATGGCTGACTCCTCCTAACCCCAAGAGCTCTTTCCTTTTCATTTCTGGTAGGGCACAGCTGCCAGGAACTTGGGGACAGCTGTACTTTATAGACACAGGCTGAACTGTGCCAAGTGAGAGAAAAAGGGGGCTGCAGCAGATTCCTGGGGGTGGAGGATGGACTCTGTTGTCCCCGGGGCTTGGGGCTTACCCCTCAAGCCAGGGGTGTGTGTGTATATGTGTGTGTGAGTTTCAGTGACACTGAGGGTGGTCTTTGTCCAAATTGCCCCCTTTGTCTCTGTTCATTGCTCCAAACCTTCCCTGCTCTGCAGTGAAGGAGCCTGTACTTGTGGCCATTCGGTATCACACTATGGTGGTCCCGGAGGATTCACTCACTCACCCACTCACTTTTGCACTTTTTGACCTACTTATTTGTCTAACAGATGGCTTCAGTAGGGAGGTGATTTGCTTCTATTTGCACTAAACAACCTCACTCTGGCTGCTGGGGCTTCTTGGTTTTCTCCTGGTTCTGTCTATCTCTCTCACCCTAAGAATCCTTCCCTGTCTCTTGGCTCAGCCCTGAGTCTGCACCAGCCAGAGGGAGTTCTGGGGCCCCTTTCCCACCTGCTGGAGATGAGAAGTGCAGGCTTCTCTTTCTCCAGGGTCCTCAGTTCCTCCTTCATCTTCTCACCCAAAAAGGCCTGGTCCAGCCTGCAAGCAGAAGGGGGCCTGGTTCTCCTGGGGTCCCCATGTGCTCCCTGGGCCCTTGGGGTGCATCTAGAATGCATGGACCTGCACCTCTCAATGGACTCTGTCCTAGGTTGGCCTCCCTGGGACTTGGGCTCTAATGTGGAAAGTAGTGTGAGGAATTTTACTAGGGAGTGTTCTGGAGTCCACACCAGGGTGAGGGGAGGGAGGGAAGTGGGTTGGGCAGAGGGAGAAGTGGGTGCTGGACAGTCTCAGAGGAGGTCTCAGTTGACTGTATGGGCACCTCTGAAGATGGGATGGCCCTTTAGCACTGTCTGGGGTTAGGATAAGGGGTAGGCCTTTTGTACCCTAAGATCTGTCAGTCAGTCCTCAGTTGTCGAATGCAGGCTACCCCAGAAAGGAAATGTGGCCTTGGTGAGGGGCTGTCATTGGCAGGAGTCGTCCCTGAAGCCAGCTACTAGTGGCACTCCCATAGCCTCATAATGACCATCTAGGGCCTAGACCTAGGGGTTGTCTCCTGGAGTTTGGAAGTTTTGCTGGAAAGAGAGATTCCTGGTTCCATTCTCACAGGCTTTGTATTGTGAGGTTTCTGGCAGATTTGGGACAGTAGGGTGACAAAGGCATGGTCTTCTTTATATATTTTATCTTATTATAATCCATGAAGTGGGTATGATACTCCCATTCCACAGATGAAAGAACCAAGCCTCAGAGGGCACAGTGACTTTCTTGAGTGGTACGTGTAAGTAAGTGGTAGACTCAGTAAGAAACCCAGGCTGATTATGCATTTATTTCCTTCCCTGGGTCTCTGTGTCCTCAGTCAAGGGTGAATCTCTCCTGCTCTGCCTGCTGTGAGATGTAAATAAGGCAGGAGGTGACAAGACCCTCACCCTGTACAGGGCCAGGCCTTTGTCACTCTACCGTGAGCAGAGCTATTCTCCCTTTGGGGAGGTGATGGAGCCCAAGCAGTAGACAGTTGTCCCTTTCAACCAAGTCCTGGGCTCCAGGAGGGAAGGATGGGAAACCTTCACAGGATCTCAGGGAGCAAGGTCCCCTCCCAGGCAGCTGAGGTTTGATGGCCATGTTGGCCAAGCTCTTCAACTCAGGGTGGATGGTTACAGCCAACAATACCCAGTGGCTAGCAGGCTGGTAATCGGAAGGTACTGATCCCAGGATGGAATTCCCTGGTTGTAAGTGGCAGGAGACAGACCCAAGTGCAGACTGTTTATCCCTGTTATGCTGCCCTTAGGTTTGGGGAGGGAGCCGGAGGCCTGGCTGAGGAGAACCCAAGGGCCCAGGATCCCAGCACCTCTCTGAGAGATCAGAGTAGGACCCAAGTCTCTGGACATGGCATCTGGAGCCTCTGTCAGCTTCCTGAGCACATGGCATAGTCCTACCCAGCTGTAGGGATGTGTTCATCAGAAATGGCCCATGTGTTTGTTTGCAGGGAGGAGGAAGAAAGAGCAAGTGGCACAGAGATGTTGTGGGGGTGACTACTTGGGGTCTTTCCCCAAGGGCATTAGGCTCCAGGGCCTGCAGGATGCAAATTGAGAGCTGGGGGTTCATTCCATCCAGCCACACAGGGCTCTTCAGAGGTCTCTGGGTCTCAGGTGCTCAAGCCATTTTCTGTTTGGGTCTTTTCCCATGCTATCCCTTTCCTGGACAGCTCTCCCCAAAGTGGCCTGGGCAATTCCCATTTCCCTTTCAGGATTCAGCCTGATGTCACTTCCTCAGAGAAGCTCTTCTTGGCCCTTCAACCTAATTCCATGCTTCCCCCTCTCCAGGGTCACATTCTCATAATACCCTACACTTTCCCTTCATAGCACTCAACAGAGCTGATGCACACACACTTGTGTGTTCATAGGTGATGAATGCTTATCTCTTTCCCAGTAGAGTTTAAATTCAGGAGGGCAGGACCCAGGCCTTTTGCTCACTGTCCTATTCCCTAGGGCCTGGCCCAGTGCTTGCACATGGGAGGCATGCTATGAATGAATGAATGAGTGAATGAATGAAGTGCTGCCCTGCAGTGATGCTAGAGTCCCTTAGAATATGCAGCCTCACTAATACTTATCATTTCATCATGCCTAACTCTTCTCAGCACTGGTCTTCTTCTTTATACATTTTATTTTATTATAATCCATTAAGTGGGTATGATACTCCCATTCCACAGATAAAGAAACTGGTCTCAGAGGGGGCAGTGACTTGCCTGAGAGTCACGTGTAAGTAAGTAACGGACCCAGTAAGAAATCCAGGATGACTATGTATTTAGCGGCCCCTTTTCCTTCCTTGATCCAATCCCCCTCCACCCTCACTTCCCTGACCTCTGCCCAGAGGGGGCCCACAGGGCCTTACCACAGGAGCGTGAGTGAGCAGGTGGGATGCCTCAGCCCCTCACAGAGCTGCCTCACGCCAAGGTCTCCCAGGTTGTTCCACCGCAGGTCTAGCTCCTTCAGGCTGGGGCTGGTGCTGAGCACAGAGGCCAGGTCCTTGCAGCAGCTGAATGTGAGGCCACAGCTGACCAGCCTACAGGAGAGACACATGTGGGCCCACAGTCATTATCATCAAGACCCACTCATCTGGGTAACTGGGGTCTAGTCCCCCTCTCCTGTAGCTATGACCTTTTGGGGGCCCTACAGTGACATTAGGGAAGATAAAAACTTTCCAGGCTTGCAGTAACCTGGGAGATTTTAACTTTAACTTTCCTCTTCAGTCAAGGGGCCCCTCAGCATGCAGCAGCCTCTCTTTCTCACCCCAGTGTGATTCCTAGGAATTCTGCCATTCACCACATGAGCCTTGAGGAGTGATTTACCCAGTGTTCCCTGTGTATGTCTGGCTCTAACTCAGTGTTTTTCAACCTCTTTTATCTCACAGCACCCTTCAACCTATAGTTAAACTTTAGTGGCACACTTAAATTATGGTTTTTTTTTTTTTTAAAAAAGGGTTAAAGTAAGGAATTTACTTATTGTGCTTTGAATTTCTTCCAAGAAAATTTTAATTAATAATCTTTAAAAAATATCATGGCACACCTAAGAACCTCTCATGGTACCCCAGTGTGCCATGGCATACCAGTTGAAAACGCTGACTAACTGTTAATCACATCAACCATGCCAAACACCCTGATCAGGAGCCATAGGATGCTTTGCTGGGTCTTGATCTTAAGGGAATCTGCAGTCCAGGAGAAAAATGAGTGAGCTCACAGGAGAATAAAAGTTGAGGGTGAGTGTGATGGCTTCAGTAGGAACTGAGGACCTAGCCTGGGATCCCCATTACATTGTGGTCTGGGGTGCACGCTGGCCCAGAGTAGGGCCATCCTGGCAAGCTGCATGCTGTTCTGAGTAATTCCACAACCCCCCAGCCTGCCTTGTCTATCTTGTGTCATACTGCCTGTCCTGGAGCTGGTCTGTAGGACCTGTGGGGTACGGGTGGATCTGTTGGCCTGGGGGAGGGTCTTATTGTCATGAAGTTCAAGGCAGCCCTGGACCTCACTGTTCATGAGCTGAGAATGACAGGGGGCTGATGGGGGCAGGGATGAAAAGGCAGACTGGTCTGTGCTGTCTTTCCAGATGAAGTTTCTCCCTGTTCCTGCAGTGTGGGGTGAGATACACAGGGAAGGACTGATATTGGGGTGCCTACGGACGAGGCTCATGGTGGCCCATTTAATCTTGGGAAACAATGCACTCTTTGCTTAGAACAACCTCTTTGGAGGGCAAAATTAACAATGCATATATCCTTTACCCTGCAATTCTATTTCTCAGAATTTAGGCTACAGGTAAGCCATTTTATCTCAGGATGCAGGAGAAGGATATTAACTTCAGTACTGTTCATAGAGGCAAAGACTGGAGAAAACTGAGGTGCATATGACAGAGGATTGATTTAAAAACAGATGATAAATCCATGTAGTGAAATGCAGCAGCTTTGTGTGCACTGATGTGGGGCAATCTCCAAGAAAAGCAAAATGTGAAAATGTTTGTGGTGTACTGCCACTTACGTAAGGAAAGGGCTGTGTGTTTGCTTATGCTGCGTGTACACAGGCTGTCTCTGGGGAAGACTGTCTGGGGGTCCTCTGCCCTTGGGGCCTCAGCTATGCTTCTAGAACTTTTGGCTCCCACAGCTGGGTCTTCTCAGCCCCGAGCAGAACACTCAGGGACTTATTTGAAGTCCATGCTTGTAACATGTCACATAGCCCTCAGGGTCTTGACTAAAAGAGGGGTCTATGAAAATAGAAAATCAGGTATCAGACCTGACTTCAAAATTCTGGTGCTGCTACTTCTTGGCTGTGTGACCTTCAGAAAATAATTTAATCTCTCTGAGACTCAACCTTAGAAGTAGTGAGGGGAGGGGGTCAAGATGCGACAGGTACCAGCTTCCGACAGAAGCTCCTGTCCAGAGGAAAGGATAAAGTCCAGAAAACACCCAACAAAGTTGAAGACTGGGAGCCCAGCCAAGAGAGAAGAATGATACTGGCAGGACACCTCTTCTGAGGCAAGCGACGACTCCTGGAAGGCATTCTACAGGTACATAATACACCCCAAAGGAAAAATGTCCATCCCTTCCCCCAAGAAAGGTGTGCTTTTCCTTTGTTTCCTCTTCAACCGCTCCTCTGAGTCTCCTACAGGGGATAGATAAACTGAGGACCTATTCTCTCACTCCAGGAGTGAGAGCTGCTGACAGGGAAGTCTACTACCCAGGAGGGACCATGCTGAGACTCAGAACACCCTCCCCCAGGCAGAAAAGTGGAACTGGCATTCACACTGCCATTTTGAGCTTCCAGTCCACCCTCCCCTGCTCACCCACAGAGACAGCTAGAAGAGCAGGATCCACCCACCCTTGCGAGACCAAGCCCCTGTCCTGGTCCTTCACCGGGAGAACTGCTTGATCCACGCTGCAGACTGATCCCACCAGCCAGAGCATTCTTCACTCAGCTGTCTCCCTGGGTGTTGTCCCCTCTTCCCGCGGCTTTGGCAGCGTGACTGTGACTGACTCCTCCCATGAAGGGCTGCATCGCCCTGCCCGCTGTCCCGCTTCCCTGCTTCCCCGATTCCCGGGGCCTTGGTGCCATGCCCAGGAGACAACTAGAAGAAGCCACTGACAGAACAGCTTTAGGGATGTCTGCAAAAGGTATAAATTCAGCATGGGGCAGAATCAGTGGAAAAACTCTGGTAATCAGAACAACCAGAGTAGATCAACCCCTCCCTCCCAAGGAAGGATGGGACAGACACATTTGAAGACCCGCTCCATAAACAGATGTCTGAGATGTCAGAAATTGAGTTCACAATCTGGATAGTGAATAAGATCAACAGAATGGAGGAAAGGAAGAAACTAGAATTTCAAATTATTCAAAAGCTGTCCCAGAAATTAAATGATTTTGAAGATAAAATGACCAAAGATTACAATACACTGAAGCAAGAGGTTGCAGCCCTTAAAGATCTGAAGACTATGGTTGAATCTCTCATTCAGAGAATGGACCAGGCAGAAGATAGGATCTCAGACACTAAAGACAAAGACTTTGAATGTGCCCAATCATCCAAAGATCATGATAAATGGAGAGCAAAAACAGACTACTTGCTCAGAGAGCTCTTGGATAATTCGAAGAAAACTAATATTCGCCTCATAGGCAGAATATTAGTTTTGCTTCACAAAACACAGAGGCCTTCCTTCATAAAATTATGAAAGAGAATTTTCCAGATATGCCAAGGGATCCTGAAATTCAGATAGTAGACAGCTTCAGAACCCCAGTGCGACTCAACCCAAACAAAACATCCCCCAGACATATCATAATCAACTTCACTAAAGTTAACATGAAAGAGAAAATCCTGAAAGCAGCTAGACGCAAGAAAACATTAACTTACAAGGGGAGGAATATTAGAATGACTGCAGATCTCTCTGCTGAAACCTTTCAGGCTAGAAGAGGGTGGTCATCAACCTTTGACTTCCTAAAACAAAACACCTTTCAACCCAGAATCTTGTATCCAGCTAAAGTGAGTTTCATTTATGATGGAGAAATTAAATACTTTAATGACATTCACATGTTGAAGAAATTTGCCATAACCAAACCAGACCTCCAGGATATCCTCAGACCTATTCTCCATAATGGCCAGCACAATCCTCCACCACATAAATAAACCCACCCAGAAAATTTTGATCAAATTCCAATCTCCACAGTGACAAAAAGAACAAAGATGTCCACTGGACTTTCAAAAAACTCAATACCCAAAAGTATACCAGGCTTATCAATAGTCTCAATCAATGTGAATGGCTTAAATTGCCCTCTAAAGAGGCACAGGATGGCTGACTGGATACAAAACCTCAGCCAGATATCTGCTGCATCCAAGAAACTCACCTTACTTTGAAAGACAAGCATAGACTCAGGGTGAAGAGATGGTTGTCTATATTCCAGGCTAATGGAACACAGAAAAAAGCAGGTGTTGCAATTTTATTTGCAGACGCAATAGGCTTTAAACCAACAAAAGTGAGCAAGCACAAAGACGGTTACTTTATATTTGTTAAGGGTAATACTCAATACGATGAAATTTTAATTATCAATATTTATGCACCCAACCAGAATGCACCTCAATTTATAAGAGACACTCTAACAGACATGAGCAACCTGATTACTCCCAGTTCCATTATAGTCAGAGATTTTAATACCCCTTTGGCAGTGCTGGATAGATCCTCCAACAAGAAGCTTAGCAAAGAAATCTTGGATTTAAACTTAACCATTCAGTATTTGGATTTAACGGACATCTACAGAACATTTCACCCTAATAAAACTGAGTACACATTTTACTCATCAGCTCATGGAACATACTCCAAAATAGACCACATCTTAGGTCACAAGTCTAACCTCAGCAAATTTAAAAGAATAGAAATTATCCCTCGTATCTTCTCAGACCTCCACAGAATAAAAGTTGAACTCAGCAACAACAGGAATCTGCAGACCCAAACAAAAACAAGGAAGCTAAATAACCTTATGCTCAATGACAGTTGGGTCAGAGACGAGATCAAGAAGGAAATTACCAAATTCTTGGAACTAAACAACAATGAAGAGATGAGTTATCAGAACCTCTGGGATACCGCAAAGGCAGTCCTTAGAGGGAAATTTATAGCACTGCAAGCTTTCCTCAAGAAAACGGAAAGAGAAGAAGTTAACAACTTAATGAGACATCTCAAGCAACTGGAAAAGGAAGAACACTCCAATTCAAACCCCAGCAGAAGAAAAGAAATAACCAAAATTAGAGCAGAATTAAATGAAATTGAAAACAAAAGGATTATACAACAGATTAACAAATCAAAAAGTTGTTTTTTTGAAAAGGTCAATAAAACAGATAAGCTGTTGGCCAACCTAACCAAGAAAAAAAGAGTTAAATTTCTAATTTCATCAATTAGAAATGGTAAAGATGAAATTACAACAGACCCCTCAGAAATCCAACAAATCCTCCATGAATACTACAAGAAACTTTATTCTCAGAAATATGAAAATCTGAGGGAAATCAACCAATACTGGAAGCACGCCACCTTCCAAGACTTAGTCAGAACGAAGTGGAAATGTTGAACAGGCCCATATCAAGCTCTGAATAGCATCAACTATACAAAATCTCCCTAAAAAGAAAAGCCTGGGACCAGATGGCTTCACATCTGAATCCTACCAAACTTTTAAAGAAGGGCTAACACCTATACTACTTAACCTTTTCCAAAATATAGAAAAAGACAGAATACTACCCAACCCATTCTATGAAGCAAACATCACCTTGATCCCCAAACCTGGAAAAGACCCAACAAGAAAAGAAAATTATAGACCAATATCTCTAATGAATATTGATGTGAAAATGTTCAACAAGATCCTAACAAACAGAATCCAGCAACACATCAAACAAATTATACACTATGACCAAATGGGTTTTATCCCAGGATCTCAAGACTGGTTCAACATATGCAAATTGATAAACATAATACACCACATAAACAAATTAAAAAACAAAGACCATATGATCCTCTCAATTGATGCAGAAAAAGCTTTTGACAATATCCAGCATCCACTCATGATCAGAACACTTAAGAGAATTGGCATAGAAGGGACTTTTCTCAAATTGATAGAGGCCATCTACAGCAAACACACAGCCAATATCACATTGAATGGAATCAAATTGAAATCATTCTCACTCAGATCAGGAACCAGGCAAGGTTGCCCATTGTCCCCATTGCTCTTTAACATCATAATGGAAGTCTTAGCCATAGCAATTAGGGAAGAAAAGGCAATCAAGGGTATTCACATAGTATCTGAAGAGATCAAACTCTCACTCTTCACAGATGACATGAAAACACCAGGGATTCTTCTACAAAACTCTTAGAAGTGATCAAGGAATACAGCAGTGTCTCAGGTTACAAAATCAACACCCATAAGTCAGTAGCCTTTATATATACCAACAACAGTCAAGCTGAAAAAACAGTCAAGAACTCTATTTCATTCACAGTAGTGCCAAAGAAGATGAAATACTTGGGAGTTTACCTAACAAAGGACGTGAAAGATTTCTATAAAGAGAACTATGAAACTCTAAGAAAAGAAATAGCTGAAAATGTTAACAAATGGAAAAACATACCTTGCTCATGGCTGGGAAAAATTAACATTTTTAAAATGTCTATATTACCTAAAGCAATATATAATTTTAATGCAATCCCTATTAAAGTTCCATTGTCATACTTTAAAGATCTCAAAAAAATAATACTTCATTTTATATGGAATCAGAAAAAACCTTGAATAGCCACGACATTACTCAGAAACAAAAACAAAGAAGGAGGAATCATGCTACCAGACATCAAACTATACTATAAATCCATCGTGATCAAAACAGCATGGTACTGGCACAAAAACAGATAGGTAGATGTATGGAACAGAATAGAGAGCCAACAGATGAATCCAGCTACTTCCCGCTATATGATCTTTGACAAGCCAATTAAAAACATTGAGTGGGGGAAAATTCCCTATTTAACAAATGGTGCTAGATGAACTGGCTAGCAACCTGCAGAAAACTGAAACTGGACCCACACCTGTCACCACTAAGTAAGATAGACTCTCATTGGATTAAAGACTTAAATTTAAGACATGAAACTATAAAAACACTAGAAGAAAGTGTAGGGAAAACTCTTGAAGAAATTGGCCTGGACGAATATTTTATGAGGAGGACCCCTTGGGCAATTGAAGCAACATCAAAAATATTCTACTGGGACCTCCTCAAATTAAAAAGCTTCTGCACAGCCAAGAACACAGTAAGAAAAGCAAGCAGACAGCCCTCAGAATGGGAAAAGATATTTGTTGGTTATGCTTCCAACAAAGGTCTAATAACCAGAATCCACACAGAACTCAAATGTATTAGCAAGAAGAAAACAAGTGATCCCATCTTAGGGTGGGCAAGAGACTTAAAGAGAAACTTCTCTGAAGAAGACAGACGCATGGCCTACAGACATATGAAAAAATGCTCATCATCCCTAATCATAAGATAAATGCAAATCAAAACTACTTTCAGATATCATCTAATGCCAGTAAGATTAGCCCATATCACAAATTCCCAAAATCACAGATGCTGGCGGGGATGTGGAGAAAAGGGAATACTTCTACACTGCTGGTGGGAATGGAAACTAATACTTCCCTTTTGGACGTCTTATGGAGAACACTTAGAGATCTAAATATAGATCTGCCATTTGATCCTATAACTCCTCTGCTAGGTATATATCCAGAATATCAAAAATCACGCTACAATACAGATATCTATACCAGAATGTTCATTGCAGCCCAATTCACAATTGCTAGGTCATGGAAGAAGCCCAAGTGCCCATCGACTCATGAATGGATCAATAAATTGTGGTATATGTACACCATGGAATACTATGCAGCCCTAAAGAAAGATGGAAACTTTACCTCCTTCATGTTTACATGGATGGAGCTGGAAAATGTTTTCTTAGCAAAGTATCTCAAGAATGGAAGAAAAATTATCCAATTTACTCAACCCTATTATGAAACTAATTGTTAACTATCATAGGAAAGCAATAATCCAAATGGAGTCCAAGAATATCGGGAAAGGGGTGAGGAAGGGGAGGGGCGGGGGGAGGATGGGTGAAAGGAGGGTGATTGCGGGGATAACACCTATGCTTTTTCCTATAAGGGTACATGTGAGTCTTTCTAAATGTTGAACATAAATGTCTTAACACAACAATTATGAGAATGACATGATGGCTATGTTGGCCAATTGGATGAAAGTATTTCAAATTGTATATGGAAACACACACTGTATCCCATGATAGAATTAATGTGCACAAATATGATCTAATAAAAAAAATTTAAAAAAAGAAGTAGTGAGGATGAAATCTTATAGGAGTTACTAAGTGCCTATCCTAGGGATCGCTGACCCCTGATATTAGAAGGGGATCCCAGCCGAGTCCCCTTCCTGTTCACTAATCCCATCAACTCTTGCTCAGCATTACCAAGTAGGGAAACAGTTAATTTTCCTGGGATGAGGAGAGGTTTGGCCTTGGGGAGAAAGGAGGGAAGTGTGTGGTTTCTATGAAGGAGACCCTGATGGCAGCCCTCTGAGCAGAGGATTGTATGTGTAACTTTGTGTGTAAGGGCAGCGGGTCCTGGGGTCTCAGGGAGAGGTGAACAGTCCCCTTGATTCTATGTGAGGCCTGGCACTGGCCTCTTGGATGAGGTAGAAGACTGAGTTAAGTGGACACTAGTGATTTTAGCTCTCAGAGAGCCCCAGGCTAAGTAGGAGTCCCTGTTACTAGGCAGATCCCAGCTGTTGAGACCAGGAAAGCAACAGCAAGCCCTGTGCTAAGCACTTCACCCATTAATCCCCATAAGAAATCTATGAAGTTGGTATCACAGATTGGTTATCATCACCCTCTAATAGACTGTGACAATGGCCACACATTCTGCCCCCGCCCCCACCTTGCATCCATGCCCCTGGGTGGTATCCTCCCTTTAAGAGCTTGAGTCTATTTTTCTACCCCTGGAATCTTGGCCTGGCCACCATAGGACTTGCTTTGGCCAATGGGACAATAGCAAATGTGATTCAAATAGGGGCTTAGAAAGTGCATGCCCACGGGGACTTGGGTGCTCATGCTACCTTTGGAGCCCAGAGGCCACATCCCTCAGCCCAGGTGTGGGTGAGCACCTTCCTGAGCCTCCACAGCCTGGCTCACATCCTGCAGCCCCCACTCCCAAAGCAGGTCTTCTTTTTTCTCTGCCCCTCCCCTGGTCTACCTGACCGAGGCAGGCAGTTTCCTGTTCCTCCCATGTCCACCCTACAAGGCAGTGTCAACCCAGGGGAATTACTGTAGCCGCTGCAGCCTGCAACGCTGCTGTCTCAGCCCCTGGCAAAGGTGCTCGGCTCCTGTGTTCATAAGCATGTTGAAGCTCAGCTCCAACTCGGTCAGGGTCTGGCTGGTGCTTAGCCCAAGGGCAAGGTCCTTGCAGTCCTCTGCTGTGAGGCCACAGCTGGCCAACCTGTAGGAAGTACATACCCAGGGCTTTGAGTTTCCTAATCTCTTGATTCAGAGAATACCCACAAGCTCCCACTGACAACCTATTGTGGGCCATGTGGAAGTCAGTAAGAACAGCCTCACCTCCCAGTATCCCAGATGCACAGGCTACAGGGGGATAGACTATAAACAAATAACAGTAGTCAGGAACTTTTATGATCAAAGCATTCTGATGTTTTCTGACATTACTCAGAGTAAAATACAAGGTCATTATCATCGTCTACAGTGCCCTGGTCACCTGGTTCCTTGTCATTTCTGCCCTTGTCTCTTATCTATTTTAACTCTACTCTCACTGGCCTCCTCCCAGTTCCTCAAACACTCCACACATGGTCCCACCCCTCATTCTTTGCACTTGCTGCTTCTTCTGCCTAGAACCATCTCTTTGCCTGTTACGTCATGGGTGACTCTCCCACCTGTTTCAGGTCTTTTCTCAAAAGTCTGTCAGAGGGCGGCACTCGTAGCTCAGGGGGCAGTGTGATGGCCAAATACACTGAGGCTGGAGGGTTCAAACCCAGACTGGGTCAGCTAGAACAACAATGACAACTGCAAGAAAAAAATCTCTGGGCATTGTGGCAGGCGCCTGTAGTGCCAGTTACTTGGGCGGCTGAGGCAAGAGAATTGTTTAAGCCCAAGAGTTGAGGTTGCTGTGAGCTGTGATGGCATTGCACTCTACTGAGGGTGACATAGTGAGACTCTGTCTCAAAAAACCCCAAAAAACCAAAGTCAGTCAGCATGGTTAAAATTGCCTACCCTCCTCCAGAATTGTTATTCTTTTCTGCTACTGTCACATCACATACAATATCGTTTACTTATGTATTTGGCTTCTTGTCCTCCTTCTGGGAATGTGAGCTCCATGAGGAAGGAATTTTGCTGTTTTTATTACTAACTGTACCCCTGTGTGCAGAGCAGGGTCAAGCACAGTGATTTTCAACTGGCGTGCTGTGAGAGGATCTCAGCTGTGCTGGAAATATTTTAAGAGATCATGAATTAAATTATTTTTGAAAGAAATTCAAAGCACAGTAAATATATTCTTTTTTTTTACTTTTTTTTTTGATCAATATAATTTAAGTGTGCCATGGAGGTTTAACTATAGGTTAAAGTAAAAAACAAACAAACAAATAAAACCCTATAGGTTAAAGTGTGCCTGGTCTAGCACATAGTAGGCCCTTAATTAGTAAGTAGAGAATGTAGTGAATGGATGAACAAAATAGCTTCACAAGAGGGGCATGTCAGGTGCAGCTGGAGGCACAGGAATGAGTGAATGGCTTTGACAAGGGAAGGAGGAGAAGTTGTGCTCTCCCTCAAGGGAAAGTGTGGGCATGATGTGCCTGGCTGGCAGGACAGATCCAAATTTCTGTAGGTATTTAGTTTGGGGATGTTGAGCTAATGGTTATACGGGGGTAGGGTTGGGTGGAGATGCAGTGTGAAGGTAGAACAAGAAAATCTCAAGATAGTGGTAGGTCTTGAATGGAATTGTAAGATGTTTGGACCTCATTTGGGTGACAATAATGGGCCTGTAAAAGTTCTTGAGGATAGTAATGATGTGACCTGGGCACTGCTTTGGAAAGATCCCTAAGGTCCAGTGGAGAAAGGCTGGGTGTGGCCAGGCAGGAAGCAGGTGGTTCAGCCAGAGGATGGGCACCAGGGTCAGAGCAGCAGCTGTGGGGGATGTTTTGGGTAGACCTGACCACTCTTGGTGGGGTTGAAGGAGGCTCTAGATTGGGTACAGAGTTGAAGCTGCTGCCACTCACTGAGAGAGCAGATGTGGGAGAGGAAGGGTCAGCTTTAAGGGCATATGACCAGGCAGTCGTGCAGTGGCACAGTCACCTGGGGCTGTGTAATTAGAAGGGCCTGTGATCGGGGTTTAATTCTCTGTGTCTGCCACCACCTTGAATTTCCTAATTTTATCTTTGAATTTGTGTCTCGTAAGTGAAATATGAAAAGATGACGGGTCTTTGGCTCACGTGTGATCTCCTGGGAGGTCCCTCCCTCCCTCCCTCTGATAGAAGATTTCCTTGACACCCACTTGCCTGCCTCCTGGTGTAGTGGGACCCTTGCCTAGTGACCTTTGCCACCTGTTGTCAGGCATGAGGAGGTCCAGGTGGGGCATCTTGGGGTAGGGCATGGTGGTAGCTGTCCTTGCTATAGGCTAGACAAGCCAGATAACCCCTCTTCCCTCCACCCAAATCCCTAGCACATACTTTCCACCCACTCCATGGCCCAGTGCATGGCTGTGGTGACTAGAGGGAGGGGCACCTGGCATCCATGTGCACATGGCACCTGCGAGTGTCTGCACACACTCTGCTAGAGTCCCAGGGCTTGAGAGAGTGAGACATTAAGTAGCAAATTAAAATACCAGGTAGGCTGAGAGAGAAACTGTGGAAGAGAAGAGAAGCTTCATATCTTAGTACCTTTACTGGTACTTTTCTCCTTAGTTTTGAGAAAGGGCACTACATTTTTTTTTTTTTTTTTGAGACAGAGTCAAGCTGCTACCCTGGGTAGAGTGCTGTGGCATCATAGCTCACAGCAACCTCCAATTCTTGGGATCAAGTGATCCTCTGGCCTCAGTTTTTCTATTTTTAGTAGAGATGGGGTCTTGCTTTTGCTCTCAGGCTGGTCTTGAACTCCTGAGCTTGAGCAATCCACCTGCCTCAGTCTTCCAGAGTGCTAGGATTACAGGTATGAGCCACTGTGCCCATCCAAGGGCACAGCATTTTTGTCTTGCACTGGGTCTTGAAAATGATGTAGTTGACTCTGATGTGAGGAGCAGGTTTTCTTTAGTTGTAGGGAGGAGAGTCTAGTTGAGAACATGCTGAGTTTGAAGAGGCTCTGGGACATGGAGAAGAAGGATGGTTCTGGAGTTGCAGATAGAGGCTTGGAAGGCACCTGGCAGGAGGCCCTTGAGTGTGGTTATGGGAGGGGTCATGAGTAGGAGGGATGATACCTGGTTAGACAACAAAGACCCTTGCCGCTTTAAAATCTCTGCTTCTCCTTGCTTTCACAAGACCTGATTCCTCTCTCTTTTTTTCTAGCTTCTAGACCAGTGGTTCTCAACCTTTCTAATGCTCTGAACCTTTAATACAGTTCCTGTGGGTCGCTGTGTTTCCTCTCCAGCTGGAAGCCAAGGTCAGCTGTATTAAATACATGTCCCATTTTCGAGTTCCCTGGCCTTTGGTTCTGTCTCTACTTCCAACCCTGAGGTGGAGAGTTTTGCCCAAGCAAGTTGGGGATCCAGCTGGCAGATGTGGCTGTGTGCTCACCATCTGCCTCCTCCCCACATGGCTGCATCCTGCCTGCCCACACCCTCCTTGTACAATAGGTTCCTGGCACCTGGCTTATCTGGTTTCCACTGGGCATGTTCCTGTCCCCTGTTCTCATCCCAGCACAAACAAATGTCCGTTTCTGGGGCTTTATTTACCTCCAAATGATTTGCCTTTACAGGCTGTGCTGTGTGGATTCCTCTTCCTCAAATCCCAATCTCTCCCCAGACCCACTGAGGACATTTGACCTTGGACCTCAGAGAGGAGGCTGAAACCATCTGACTCTGAGGGTGTAGGCTCTGAGCCAGGCACACATGACTTCAAATCTTGCCTCTGTCAGTCACAAGTTAAAGATAATGGGCAGGTTTCTTTATCAAGTTTCAGTTTATCCATCAATATTATGTATTCACTGTGCCTGTTGCACAGGTGCTGGCCTTGAAATCCCAAAGTGAATTAACCCAGATACAGAAGGAAAAATACTGCAGGATCTCACTTGTATGTGAAAAGCAAAGCAAGTAAAGTACATAGAGTGGAAGGGTGGTTACTGGGGTGGGGCAGGGGGGAAAGGTCACAGGGTAGAAACTTGCAGTTATATATATTTTTTAAAAGATAATCTAATCATTAGTTAGGATTTTGCTTGAGAGTCTTGGGTAGTCTAGCATCCAAGACACTAAAGTCGTGCACTCTTCATTTAGAAAAGCTTTCTTAGTGTGGGAAATATTCACACTTGCCTGACCCAGGGTTGGTAATGTTGGGCCACTCTTCTTTCTTTTTATGACACTACCCCAATGAGCCAGCCTTAATCCCATGTACCTGGTTGAGAGGAGGTATTGGTGCCAGGTCCTGTCCTCCCATTACTAGCTGTGTGAATGTGGCAAGCAGTTAACTTCCCTGAGCCTGAGTTCTTCACATCTGGAAAGTGGGAATAACTGTCCCTGATCTCCCGTTTTCACAGGGTCTTATTTGGAAGGCCCAAGATGATGGGTACAGAAGTGTTTTGGTTTGGAGATTGTGAAGTTCTACACCAATGTAAGGGGTACGTTGCAGGTTGTTGTTTTTATACTGGGGTGTGAATTCTCTGGTAGAACCAGAATTCCTCTCATTTCTTCGGGTGGACACATAAGTCATAGAGAGAGGCTGGATTTGCCTCCTTCAGTGTGCTCAACTCTCACTATGATGCTTTTTCTTTCTTTCTTTCCTTTTTTTTTGAGACGCAGTTTCACTTCATTATGCCCTGGTAGAGTGGTAGAATGTGGTAGCATCATAGCTCACAGCAACCTCAAACTCTTGGGGTCAAGTGATTCTCTTGCCTCAGTCTCTCAAGTCGTTGGGACTACAGGTGCCCACCACAATGCTGGGCCAGTTTTTAGAGTTAGGGGGTCTCACTGTTGCTCATGCTGGTCTTGAACTTGTGAGCTCAAGAGATCCACTCATCTTGGCCTCCCAGAGTATGATGTTTTTTCAATGAACAATCTCTTGTTGCTTTCCTTTCTTGCAATCTCTTTTTTCCCCCAATCTCTTACCAACTTTTTTTTCCTGGAATCTATCTTAGATTTCATGATCCCTCATTATCAATATCCAGAACGTATTACCCTCCAGCTTTCCATCACATTCTTACTGCTAACTCCAATTTCCCACTCCTTGCCCCACTCTCACCTGTGTAACAGGATAGGTGACTGCCACGATAGACCACACCCATTACCCT